ACGGGCGGGGGCCACCGCACGCTCCCCAGTGCCCCCGGCGAAATGGGGGGGGCCGGGCCCCCCCGCCAAAAAACCCCCGCCCCGGACGAGCCACGGGAATGAGTGCCCCCGCCTCTGTTCACCTGCCCTGCCATCCCCAGCAACTGGGGGGCTGCAAAGCACATCTCCCAACGTGCCACCGAGGGGGACGTGCTGGGAAGACCCCCTCGCCTTCCTAGCTCCCCTCAGTATATATATTTTTTTAAATTCACCATCACCCTTTCCTTCGTATTTCGCCCGCGCTTCCTTCCCCTCCTAGTTTGAAAAAATCTTCTTTGTAGTTGTGGGGGGTCTGCAAAAGTGCTGGGCCAAGCAGGGGAAGGAGAGTTGATTTTTCAACTCGGCCGAACCACACGTCGTCCGTCCGGGGATTGTGAAGCGAGGAAAGGGGTTGCGAGCCGGAAGACAAAAGCAAAAGAAAAAAAAATAAAGCTTTTAAGACACCCGTGGCTGCCGGAGCCTTTTTTCCCTGCCAGTTTTTTAAAAAGCGCATCACTTAATTTTTGTGTGCAGGGTCTCTTGCTCTCAAAACGAGGGCAGCTTTGGGGAGCAATGGGGTAAAAAGGCCTCTTTGGAGTTGCATTCAAATCCTGACCCTTTTGTACCTGCATTTAGCTGTTGCCCCACAGAAATGGGGCTACGTGGGCAGGGGAGTTTGGAGGCTGCAAATCAACACTGATGCTGTAATGCTAAGAAGTCTTTTTTCAAGGAAGTCCATTAAAGAGGTGAACGCACTTAGCAGCATGGCGGTGGGCTGGGGACGTTGGGAATTGTAGTCCAGCATCTTCTGATCCATGCTGTGTTGTGGGGAAGGTCAAAGAAATCCTTCCTTGCCTGATCTTTAATACTACTACAATTTTTTTTTAACAAACTGTATTTTTTAGTGTTAAGTACAGGCAGCCATGCCACCATCACCATCATCATTAGAACAGAGATTTTACTTTTCTTCAGTGAGGGTGATGTAGCCACGGGTGATAAAGAAGCATATGTTTTGCCATAATCTTTGGGGATATGCTAAAGATGCCTTTTATTACCCTGTGGAGCTTCATTTCACCATCAGATTGCATTCCTGTTGCTTTTTAAATTGGTATTTTAATTAGGGTTAAAATGCTTCTCTAACTATCCTTCGGAAATCACGGCGAACTCAAAGAGGGCCTCGGTGCTGAAACGTGGGCAGAGATGGTGACAAGGAAGGAGCGAAACAGTCCTTAACGGCGTCGCTCAAATGGTTGTCATCGAAACATTTTTCCCTCTGTAATTGATCCAAAAGCAGTCCGGGATCTCAGCGCTCTGTGTAAGTGGCATTTTGTTAATATTTCCATTAAACATATACACACTATAAAGTAGCCTAAAATATTTATGAATATAGCTGTAAAGAGCATTTAAGTGCTAATTAAAAGATTAATTAAAAATAAATGAACTCACGCTAAAAAGGCAGCCAAGCTGGTGGTTCTACTTTTCCTGTTCTGCAGAAATTTAGATCATATGCAGCTTGAGCAGGGGAAAAGAAAGGAAGAATTGGGGGGAAAATGTGGGCCGAGGCTGCGGTTGTTGGGGAGGTAACCCTGCGCGAACAAACAATGCACAAGAATTCCAAATACACTCTGGAAATGTAGCCACACAATCAGCCTCGTGCCTGAGAAAAAAGAAAAATATCAGAAATGTGGGAGGTCCAGGTTTTGTCCATTTAAAGACTACTTTTTTAAAACGTCAATTGTTTGCTCAAAGAGATTCACAAAATGTCTTAAAATGTAATCAAGGAAGATGCTTCCTATGCACGTGCTTATAGTCTAAAAGGGACAACAATGAAGAATAACGGATGAGGAGGGAAGAGGAAAAACACACACTCAGGCTCTGTGTATATTTAGCTTAAATAGCATTTATTATAAAGACCAGATGCAGAGAAACCAGTTCAGGAAGATTAATATAAACTGGTCCTCAATGAAAAACCTGCAAATTGGTCTCTTGCTGTTTTTCCCCCTCTGCTATTGGAACACAACTTTTACATCATGATTTGGGGTTATGGACCATAATAGACTCTCTATTCTACCTTTTATGTAAAGCCACATTATTGGCTGGACCAAGAGCTGTTGCTGAAAAGCGTGTGCTCTGAGGTGGAGCTACAACAATTCTACGAAAGATTCTAGTCCTCGTGATTTTTTTGTTTGTTTGTTTACAGTAAATAAAAGGCTCATTCATTTCACATTTCAGCATTGAACATTCAAAATCGTAGCCCCATAGCTAAGTCAGGAAGATTAGATTATTAAGATCTTGAGTGTATCTGCTGATTACACAGGATTTCACCTAGATATTTTGATGCTAAGGCCCTCAACAAAAATGACTTTACAAGAGAAAATGTTTGAAGAACTTTGATTCTGTTCATTTGAGGGCCAAACCTAGATTACGGGTTTCTCTTCTCAAAGGGATGCTCAATTACCAAAGTAAAATTATATACAGTGTTTTGGCTTCTTGGTCCCATTATTTATATTTTTCCCTTGTATCTTTGTGTACGCATCAATTTGCCAACTAAATGGAGATTGTTGTCCATAAAATGTGAGATCCCACACGGTGAAGGAGTTGGACAGGCCAGGGAGACAGGCACTTAACCAACCTGAATCAACAAAGCTCTTAGGTTAACGTGGGCTCAGCCTACCTTGTAGGGCTGTTGTTCTGGGGATAAAATGATGGGCAACATAAGCAAACTTGCGCTCCTAGAAAAAAGGCAGGATAATAAGCAGGATGATCATTTAATCGCCATCATAACCATGAGTGGGCTAGCCTGAGAAATCACGATTGCATCCTCTTTTTTGGCTCTGGGCACGTGGCACGGCCCCTTCTGCCCAATGCCAGCTGCAGCTTGGACGAATCTGAAGCTGGCCAGGGCAGCAGCTATGTTCTAGCTTCATATCTGCAACCGTGATGGCCCTCGGTGCCCGCCAAGTTGGATTTCTTTCATTTGGGGCTCAGCGCCATCTGCTACAGTCAGGATATCAAGAACGTCTGTTTTTCTGCATTCTGCAGCTTGCAAAAGCTTCTCCCTTGGAATAAATGTGTTAGTGGGAAAAGGTGCTACCAGACGGATTTTCTCCACCCTAAACTAACCCCGCTCTCCTCTACCAACGTCCAACCATTTGGGTGAGAGACGTGGTGCCACCTGGCGGTCAGTGTAACTGCCAACACCGTGCAGGATATGCAGCTTGTAAAAATGGAGAAATCTCACCCCCTTCCAAAGGCTGGGGGGGAATGTCATGTAAAACCTTGTATATGGGGCATGACATAATGTGACATCTGTATCTCTGCCCTGGGGAGTTAAAGGAAGGTGGACTGTAGATGCCATTCTGATTCATTCTATAACTCATTAATCTTCCTGCAACCACTGAGTTTCAGGTTCTGCATCTGGATCCCTCCTAGAGCCAGTGCCCTGGAGATGTCTACAACGGTGCAAAGATCCATGAGTTAGTAGAGGGTTTGGGTCCCATAGAATAACATCTGGCTATGTATGTTTGATGATTCCCAATGAGGATGAAATTGATCACTTGGTGCCTCCTGGTGGCCAATCCCATCAATCCATGTGGTGAGTTTACAGTGGGCTGGATTGCACAAATCCAAAAAATGGGTGTAATTTAGCAACCGGGTAAAGCATCTGCTTCCATGTTAAGCCTGAGCAAAGAAACCATATTCTGGCTTGGCATAAAGGCCAGTTCACAGAACGTGTTAAAACCCAAGGGCTGGATTCCCAAAGCATGCTGATTTGCAAGCTACGAATCCAGTTGTGCGAGTCCAGCTGTGCAGCGCACGAGGACCAGCGAATGCTCAATCTAATCTACAGTAATTCAGGGGCTCAAAGGAAGCGATAATGAGGCTTTCCAGTTTTTTTGGAGGGGGGGCGGATAACAGATCCCCAAAGAGGAATGCAAAGAAGAAATCCTCATCGAGCAGAATCCGGGTACCTTTTTTCCACCCCCCGCCAGCAAAATGTCTCCTTCCCTTGAGGTGTTGGAATGAGAGCACTTCTCGGAAAGAGGGCTTGCTCTTTTAATTAGGAACTCGAGATTGCATTCCAGCTGCGAAAGAGTTTTATTAAAAGCTCAGCAGGTTTTTCAAGTGGAACAGAGCCCGCCAGCAGAAGGAAGGCAGTGCGGCTGAACTTAATCGAGCGGATTCCCAAGTTGACGGTGAATAGGATTGCATCCATGAATAACCGAACGGTGAGGTTTTACGAGCTTGCTGTTTGTTGTGGAGATCAAGGGTTTTGTGATGGGTGAAATAGATTGTGCTTACACTGTGGATGGGCAAAGGGCTGGCTGTGATTTTTGGCAAGAATCACAAGCGAAAAGCCGGCACCCCAACAGATGCCTTCTCTGAAAATAAAGCCGGGGGGGGGATACCTCCCAACCCACAAAGAGCCATTACTATTACAGCTTATGTTAATGGAGTATTATATTGTACGATTCCATGAATATAAAATAAATCCATGGAAGAGTCATTATAGAAATAGCTTTTATTAGTGGGATATTATACTGTAACATTCTATGAAATCACACCTTGGGCTTCAAAATAACTTTTGCAAAGTAATATCACAAAATATAAGAATAAAGTAATTAATAAAATAATAATTAGTAATAATTAACAAAATGCGGTTCTTAAGAAAGAAAGAAAAGAGCCCTTTTTTTAAAAAATCACCCACTCCTGACTCAGGAAAGGACTGGAGACTTATCTCATAGGCCTCGCCTGATTGCTAAGCATCTTCCTCTAATTAGAAAAGGTTCAGCTCTCAACAGCAGGTCTTTTTCTGCGGAAAAGTCGCAGAAAAACAGGTGTCCAGCCTTTGACAATTGCCTCTTTAAAAAGCCACCAACCCACAAAAATCTAAAAGAGCCTGCAAAGGAGGAAATAGGTACCAAAAAGAAAAAATTTGCCTAGTTTGTTCACTACGATTTTCAGTTGCTGGGAAAGGGTGGCTAGATCAATAGAGCAACTTCAGCTTCAAGCACCTTTTGAAGAGTTAAGTGGCCTGGCCTGGCCTGGCAGGGAACGCTGAGATTTGGAGTCGGGCACATCTGGACAAGGCCAGATTAGAAGGCTGCTGCAAGTTTTAGGCGCCCCTTTTCCCCCCAAGTCAACCGAGTGGAGAAGTGAGTCAAAGTGACATTGGGCCCTTAAAAAGGGAAAAAAAACTGGCAGGGAGTGGAGAATCTCGCTCTCAATACTCCCCCCACCCCTCAGCAAGCAGGCCACAACAGCTGTTCTTTTGCATTTGGGGAGAGGAAGCTAAAAATAGCCCCTTCCCTTGCTGTTTTCCTTAGCAGATGAAAAGCTGGCCAGTTTTTGTGTTAAGTGGCAGGAGTCAAATGCATGGGCTGGCCCTTCCATTAGACCAGCATTTCTCAACCTTGGCAGCTTGAAGATGTGTGGACTTCAACTCCCAGAATTGGGAGCTGAAGTCCACACAGCTTAAAGTTTCCAACGTCGAGAAACTGCATTAGACAGAGGGTATCAGCTAGCCCAGGTTCCTGGGAGGGAAATGGGGGTAAGGCGGGATTCCCCCCTTTTTTTTCAAGGGGAAGGAGAAATTCTCCAAGTCTTTCCCAGGTGGAATTCCACCACTGTGGCGCAACCAGGAAGCCAATAGGAAAAAATGATTTTTGCCCCTGATGTCTCTCCATGGGGTTGGAGGGAGCTGCGTAAGAGAGAGAACTGTACCATAAAGGACGGGCACCTGCACGGGCCCTTAGCCAACTTGTTATTAAAAAGCTTGACCTGCCGACTTAATTGAAACGTTTTCTATTTTGCGCAGAACCTTGACCCACAGTCAACCCTCGTGCTAAGGCCCCCCAAAACATGCTACTGTACAATTAATCAAAGTGAACAATCATGCAAATAATTTGATCTGGCCTATTGGCCAAACATGGACAATAGATATTTTTGCATTTTTTAAGGTGTTTTTTTTCCTCTCTCTGTGTGTGTACAATATAATTTAAAATGCTTTTTAATGGATGCTTACGTTATGTAGAGGTTTGTTCCTTCGGCAGCTGAATCTTGAATGGATCCCAGAATAATATTTCCATTATGGTCTGGCCCTTATGCGTTCACACAGGTGTAACCCGCTCAGTGAAAACCTGCTGGTTGCGTTCACCCAACATGCAAAATGTTTAGTGTTTTACTTATTCCAGTAAAGCCGCCAAGAATTCTGCAGGGTTACAGTGGGGTATAAATGTAATAAATAAATAAACGTGGTTAGTTTTAACACTGGCTCACCTTGGGTTAGTTTCTGGTTCAGTGTACTATGTGAACCTAGAATAGGGCACCTGAGATCCTTCTTGAGTTGGAGACCTTGAGAGATGAAAATATCATATATAAGCTTCAGATAGCAACATTATCTGGGTGAATAGGATAGTAAGGTGATTTTTTTTCTTGTTCTAAGCTAGCCACCTTGATCAGGAAGCAGGCTATACATTCATGAATAAGGAAACTGAAAATGTGTGAACTCTGGAATCCTGTCAAACAGCTCGTGAGCTCTCTGGAACGCTCAAAGTGCCTATTCTGCTTCAAACCTTCCGGGTGGGAGGAAAGGCACTCTGTAAATGCTCAGAGGTACTCTCTGCGTGTTATCACTTTCCTGTTCAAAAGAGATCCAAGGATCCAGCAGCAGAGAAAAGCTCCTTCTGACTTTGAAGCAGTCACTGGTGGGGTCCTCCAATTAGCACCACCAGACACCCTGCTTTCCCACCTCTTCCTACCAAAGGAGGCAAAAGCAGGGGGGCATCTCAGCGTCCTCCCCAGGCCCTTGGCATTGGTCCGCTAAGGCTGTTGCAGTGGTAATTGGCTCTGTAGCTGGCAGGATTTGAAAGAGCTTAATTGGCCGGGGCTGCAGCCAGCCACGGCCACACACGGTGCCATTCCGTCACGGGATGGCTGCTAACGCACCGGCTGAAACCCACGGGACCTGGTTTTATACACCTTTGTGTTGCCCATCCAAGCAGTGGGCAGCCCTGCAGGTCGCGGGCAGCCACGGCTCCATTTGGTGCCCATAAAACAGCACTGTGGAATTCTGACTGCAAACCTCCAGCAGCGCAATTTCTCACTTTCGAAACGAAAGAATGAAGGAAGTTTAGCTTCTGCTAGGCTGAATGGAGCTATTTTGGTTTTATGATTTCCAACCCTGCTGTCGAAATCTAGAGGAAAAAAATGGAAAATGGTTGTGGCAAATTCAGGAAGCCCTTCAAGGATAATAGTGGGTCCGTGTGCACTTCTAGTGCAACATGTGAGTGGGAAGAGTTTTAAAAAGTGCACCCGCTACTTGCAAAAAACGTCCGTCTCTGCAGTGCGCTCTCAGTCGGGCGCGCTGATGTCACTGCAAAGCCACATCTGGCTGTCACAATTGCAAAGTGCATTTGAGCACCTCCAGAGGCTGAACACATCGCATCACTGCTCCATCAAAGCCTTGCACAGCCCTGCTCACGGCTGGATCCTTGTGAAACTGGTGATCCCTGCATTATGATCCCTCACAGGATTCCTTGGCTTGTTTTTTTACAATAGTAATATCGAGATCAACCCTTTCCAAACCAATCTTCTGACAATGTTTCCAGGCAAGACGCTGGCAAAAGCCGTGAAGTGCTTAAAGAGAATGGCAGTAAAATTTGCCCAAGTTCCATCTGCAAATTCTTAAGTGGATTTCAATGCTTCCATGCATGGCTTCTTTCCAAACAAATGTTCAGAAATAATTCCCATCCTAGCTTTACAAAATATTCTTGATTGAGTTATTAAACATATATATTTTCTGCAGTTCACAGTTCACTCTGGATGGCACAATGCAATTTGGGGAACAGGCTCCCAGTTTCCATTTTTCCCCATCATTTTGGCTCAGTCTCGCCTACCTCACAGGGTTGTTGTGAGGATACCAAGGGGAGAAAGAGACATCTTTTATTAAGAAGGCCCTTATCTCTATTTGAAGATATCTTCTATCTTAAAAGAGTCCCCCCTAAATTTCTTTGAGTTTAGAAAGAGAGAAAACATTTTTTTAAATGCCTAACCTTGTTCAAGGATGGATAGTTTTATTGTGGTTTTTATGCTGTTATTTTTTTTAAACCATTCTGAGTATTTTTGAAATGGGCAGCAATAATATTTATAGGCAGCTTGGGTGCCGTCCCTAAACATCTGGAGCACCCCTTGAAGACCCTTGGCATTGACCAAATCGCCATCAGTCCATTGCAAAAGACAGCTTTACTTGGAACAGCTTCCATCCTGCGACGATACCTTTGACACCATCAAACTGCAACATCTGCCTATCCCAGGTCCTTGGGAAGGACTCGATCGGTGGATAAAAATGCCAAATCTAGTCTAAACATCTGGCCGACTGTGCGACCAACCATAATTTGGTAAAAGTATTTGATCCAGCTGGATGGCAAAACTGTGGATCTTTGCATCAAGTTTGCTCCTGCTCCTAAATTTCCGTAATTTGCCCCCAGACATTTTGTTCTTTTTGCTGTAACAAACTAATGCAAAAACCCTGTGGAGTTGTTACTTTTGTCTGCTGTTTTTCTTTAACTCTCAGAGGAGAGTTTTTGGAGGCACATCCCGCTCTTTCTGGCTGCAGCTGGCGATAAAGCCCTGAGCAGTTTTAATGTTCCTCGTCCAGGGAGGCCAAGAGCGAAGGACAGATCGATTCTGGAAGGGAATCAAACGATCTGGGGAAACGGAGCTGATCTGGCTCCCGAAGGACGGCCCGGGCGGGAGACGAGGATCCAGCAGATAAACTTTGGCCAAAGACTGAAATGAGCTCAGGGCAGGACCGTTGGGTGGGCTGGCGCAGCCGCTGACTCTGACTGAACTGGCCCGGTTTCTGACACCCTCACCTGCCAACAGACCAGACAGGCGGGTTTGCATAACCGGGCTGAGGTTATCCTTAAACAGAGGTTGAGTCAAGCGAAGTCGGCTGAGGCCACTGCATCTGTGACTGAGCTGGTTAAACCGCTGAATCACGGCTTCTCAGCCCCCCAGGCTGACTGGTGCTCGCTTCTCCTTCCCCTCCGGTGGGGTGGGATCTGTCTTTGGCTAAGGAGGATGAGGAACAGGTGCTCTGCACGTGCTCGTGTGATTCCAGTGAATAGCCTCGGCGTTGGATGCTGGTTGTGAAGCAGCTGAAACATTGGTGCAAGGATTTGGTCGTGGTGAAAGATTTGGGGTCCAACTGTTCTCCTATTATGGCCTGAAGGCCTGAATGGGTACAAAAAGACCTCTGGGTATGCTCAGAGGCAAGCCTGCGTTTATCCCGGGAAGGCCAGACACTGACAAAAGGGGGCACACTGTGACCAGGTTTCAACCACCAAGACTAAGCTAAAATTGGAGTCTTTCGTGATTCGAGCTGTTTGTGGGAGAGCAGTTACGGGCTGAGCTGGTTGTGTGAATTCAGTCACAGCGGGGTCAATTTGTTTGGGCTCAGCGTAAGTGTAGCACTCCAATATTTTCACAAGAAGCTGATCTTGGTTAGGGATAGGCCTTGGTTTGCTCCTTTTGGCCCGACTGAGTTCCCCGTATGGTGGCAAAGCTGAACACGGGCTAATCCTGGCACCGTGTCTGACAGGTGGTGCAAACCGGGGGCTTGCGAAGGGGGCCCAGAAGGACAACTGCGGACCATAGGAACCGAAGGGGCGCCGTTTCTCGCACGCCTTCGCCTGCGTTTTGTTGGAGGCGATCTTGCAGTTTGGGACTGGCGGGGACAGGGATGCAGCTGAATTAGGGCCCAGCCCCCTAGCCCCCCCCACTCCAAGCCAGTTGCCATGGCAACCAGAGGAGCCTGCAATGCCAAATTGTAAGGCACGCACGGGACCCCCCGGGGATCGGCATTGTACCGGTTTGCCAACTGGGGGGCTGCAAACCCCACCAGCTCCATCCATCACCGCTTTCCAATGCCTGCCTCTGCCTCTGCCCCCCCCAGAACACAGTTCTTCATTTCTAGCTCTCCTGATCTACGCGCATCCTTGGTGTGTTCGTGTGTGTATCTATCTATATATATGTGTGACATTTCCCCGAGTGAAAGATCTTTGTGACAGCTCAAGAGGCAACCTGATTCCCTATGAATGTAGGAGCACAGCAGGTGTGCAAACTCCCACAAAGGAGGTGAGGGAAGGAGAGTGCATCGCACACGGTTTCTCCAGAGTCTTCAGGAGAGCAAAGCTGTTGCAGCGCCTGCAGACCAGACTCTGTCGGGAGTTGAGGGTCTGACCGTAGCCTCCTCTGTTTCGTTTTCAACCATGAGGACTGGCACCTTGTTTTCCTTTTTAAGGAAAGAGAGGTCCCTAGCTTTCAGCCAACATGCTTAACCAGGTCAGCTAAAAAACCCTGCAACTGCATTCACACAGGCTTGTCTGGAGTTAATCTTAGTTAGCTTTTCTGTGGCTTTCGTGTGCTGTGGAAGTCCAGCCTGGACATTTCAGTGTCTTGGTGCAAATGGGTCAATTCAGCCACCAAGTTAAATGGGTTGTGGGAACCCAACCTCTCACACCCTAAGCTTTGGAAGAAGCAGGGAGAAAAAGGGTGAGTTTGCAGGAGCCGAGGATGTTACGCTGGGCAGAGAGATTGCTGGGGTTGTTTTTGGTTTGGCTTATTGTGAGAACACGGCCACTGTTCTTGCACATCAGCGTGAAGTAGGTCATGCGTGCTCTTCAGCCACAATATGGGGAATTTGTTTAAACTCGGGCTGGTCTGTCCCAGAAGCCCAGATCACACAGCTCTGAACCAGGTCACTTAAAACCCAGCGCTGCATTTACGCACCGTGCCGAACTCCGCTGGCCTCATTTCGTAGTTTCTCAGCCCAGCGTTTGGGTTGCATGAAAAGAGCTCAGCCTTGTCCCCAGGTGAGCAGCCATGTGAATTTGTTACCCGGGTTTAAGGGATGCCCAGGGAACCCAGCCCATGTTGCACAGCTCACCCAGAGCCCAGCTTCCCAAACTGCTTCGGGGAGGGTTACTTTCACTCGTGGGGACACCTCTGGGTGTGCCGAGTGGCCCATCCCTTCCCTCCCTCCCTCCCTTCTTCGGGCGCGGCGCCAGCTATTCTCTGCCCAGAAAACGGGGAGCGCTCTGCATATGCCCAGAGGCACTCTTCCTGCTTTCCCCGA